TATGTCGTTTTGGAACGTCATATCTCCGCGTGGAGTTATGTCGTTTTGGAACGTCATATCTCCGCGCAGAGCTATGTCGTTTTGGAACGTCATATCTCCGCGCAGAGCTATGTCGTTTTGGAACGTCATATCTCCGCGCGGAGTTATGTCGTTTTGGAACGTCATATCTCCGCGCAGAGCTAAGTCGTTTTGGAACGTCATATCTCCCCGCGGAGTTATGTCGTTTTGGAACGTCATATCTCCGCGCGGAGCTAACTCGTTTTGGAACGTCATATCTCCACGCGGAGTTATGTCGTTTTGGAACGTCATATCTCCCCGCGGAGCTATGTCGTTTTGGAACGTCATATCTCCCCGCGGAGTTATGTCGTTTTGGAACGTCATATCTCCGCGCGGAGCTAACTCGTTTTGGAACGTCATATCTCCACGCGGAGTTATGTCGTTTTGGAACGTCATATCTCCCCGCGGAGCTATGTCGTTTTGGAACGTCATATCTCCCCGCGGAGTTATGTCGTTTTGGAACGTCATATCTCCGCGCGGAGCTAAAACCCGAGATATTAAAAAAAACCATCGAAAAAATTTCGATTTTCGCACCGACCTTGATTTTGCAAAATAACGTGCCATTTTGTCGATTTGGTTCCAAATTTTGAATTAAGCACTTATGATAAAAAAGGAACTTAAATAGCATTACAGCAAAAAGTCGCAATAACCATGCTGTTAAAATGCGAAGCAGACGCGCATGAATGTGTGTTTGTACATGTATACAGTAATTCTTAAAGATGCTGCTCTATTCAAAAAAGGTGACCACAACATTTTACCAAGTGCACAATGTCAATTAATAGAATAAATATCAGAGAGAGAAAATCACGTCAGCATTAGTGCCAAACACAAAATGAGATTAATGTGGACAATATTTGACGTGTTCCTTCTATATTCTGTGGTGGTGGGGGCTGCGTTAAGACCAGAGCGTAGTTAACACCGCATGGGTGTTAAGGCGGCAGCAACTAATACAAATGTCAAGCGATTAAGCCACAAAAAGGATCAAGCTGATTAGCAAAGGCTTTAGCAAATGCGAAACATGTTGCAGTTGCTGCGAAACTCGACAACACTGGCAATAGCGCATGAGGAAGGAGTCTAAGAAATGTTAGAGTCTGCCCAATCGATTTGTCGTTAATAATATGAGCGAAGCTCAGAGGCCTCACTATTTATTTAATTTGTGCTGCGGCCTGACAGCCGTCCGATGCCTGACGACAGCTAGAAGCTTCCTATTTTTAAAGGTGTGGGTGATTCCTGGGCCAGGAGCTGGGGCTTACTTACACGGATTCATATGAGGCATTTTACTCTGGCAGGCTATTTGTTCTACTCTCAATACTGAGGCGTGTGCAGTTAAAGGCTTTCGCTGCGGTAATAACTTCACACATGTGCATATATTTGTATATCTGAATGTGTATGTGTGCGTGAACGTTTGGGTGTGTGGTTAAGCGGCTCTATCTGCACGTTGTTTATTTTCTATGAGTTGCTTTTGTTTTTCTTTGCCGCTGCCTGTTGTCGTGTGTTGTTGTTTTCTCATTTTATTTCACGTTTACTTTTGCCAGCAACGTCTGTCGAAAGCAAAAGTGAGCTAATCTTATTGTTTTCACAAGAACGCGAAAGCGCAGCTTCTACAATAGCTTGTTGATCCTTTGAGTTATGTGGCAGGATGCCAGCCGCTGCGGCATGTACCCTCCTGATATCCCGTACAGTGTTTGCTTACACTCCAGTCGTTTGCCAATTTGATTGGTGACGCTCTGGCGTGCTGAAAATGGATTTAAATTACATTGTTTCACACACTCGTCAGAAGTACGTGAGCAAATTTGCGAGCGGCAAGGATAAAAGGAGCAACAAGACGGCAGCAGTAGAAATATCAACAATAACAACGGACAACTTATTTTACATGTGTCGTGTTTGCACTGACTTTTCAGCAACAATATTTTCATTGAATTGATTAGTTCTCTTCTCCCTGGCGATGTTATTACTGCCTAAAAGTATGCACGTTTTATTTGCGTTTGTCTGCGTAATGTTTTCCTCTTCGTGTTTTTGTGTTTGCTTAGTTTTAGGCTAGGGATAACGTAGGATTTACTGTGGTTCTCTTTTGGCATATTTGTTTATGGAAAGTTTTTGGTAAGCGCTTTCAACGCATTTGTGCTATAGCCCATATTTGTGTTGGCCATAAATAAGACGTACACAGAGTATGCTGTGGTTACGTCTTTAGCAGCACTCAGCTAACCAGGGAGTTTTTTTTGTGGGCAAGTGAAGACTCAGAGCTCGGTTCAGGCCAGTGGCCGCAAAAAGTGTGCGAGTAGCTCAAGGAGATGTGGGGCACTGGCAACAGCCACGCCAAAGTATGTAGTAACACATAATCCGCAGCTTAGCTTTAAAACTTAACTGCGCTAGTTCATAACTTGTGCAGGGCCAACCATCCCCTTTTGCCAAATAAAATGTATAAGAGCAGCCAAGTTGGCAACCGCACAAAAGTGGCAACTCACCACCCACTTCTACATCCTTGATGCACGCATGCGGGCGCAGAAGGAGTGGCAAGAAGCTCCCTGCCAGCCGCCTGGTATTCTCACTCACTTGGCTCTCCACTTAAGCCAGCAACTTGCTCCGGCTTGAGCCACTTTGCCACGGCGTGACCAGTTTCTGAAGTGCATGTTGCCCGGGCACTGCACATCTTAAGTGTGCCCAAAAAGTCAAGATGGGGTGCTTAGAGCAGGGGGGAGTTGCCAGTGTGACATTGCAACGAAAATAGGCGCACGCATCTCTGAAACAATAATATTTATGCCAAGCACTAAGTGAAAGTAGCGCCAAAATATATACATAAATATTTTTTACTTTTAGTTTTTTGCTTTAGTTTTTTGTTTGCCATTGACTTATTTCTTATGCAAAAATCGGAAGGCGACGGCTGGCCCAGGTAGTATGTCCACCCAGGGCTAACTGAGCAAAGGACTGGCAGACAGTCCCTTTACCGTGTCACTTGTTTGCGTAAATATTGCAAAAGTTTTCTGAAAAGCTTTTAGCAGCTTTTTTTGTTAGCTTACTTTTTTTTTAACACAATTCGTGCGTCAATTCTCTGGGGAACTGACAAACGCCTCGACTTTGCATTACATTTTGTCCGGCTAATATTGAATATAACACAGGTCCAGCGGGAAATGTCAAATTTAAACATTTGATTTGCGCTTAGCACATTTCACACTCACACATACATGTGCTCTTTGCACAGTTATATTTATTTATCCAGGCAATGGATCGATAATTGAGCTTATCAGCAGAATTGATATTTTTGCTTATCAAAGCAGTTTAGTTTATCAGACTTATCATATTAAATTATAACAATGTGCTGAGTATGCCCCCATTAAGAGAGAGAGAGAGAGAGAGAGTGTGTGTGTGTATATGGGCGGTGATGGCCTGCGTGTGGGTGAGTTTGTGTGTGTGTATGGCAAACCAATCAATGGCACAAGCCGCCCACAGCCACAGCCGCAACAACAAGAACAGAAATAATAATAGACAATGCACAATTGACTCATTAAGCGACTAAACCGCGACAAGGGAAAGCCAAAAGTGACACACATACAAGCAGTTACACACATGCACGCACACACAAAATGTTCAATGATGTAGCCAGTTGGTAGCCCCAGTTATCAGAATACTGAAGTAGCAGGGCAGCTCAGAGTCATGTGGCAAGTGGCTTGGCTCATTATTAAATAGCCGTAATTGTAGTACAATGTTTGGACGCAATTATCAATGCAGTCAATTTGCAATTGCCCACTTGACATTCAGTTAACATGTACAAAGTTTAACTGCGCACTGTCACTCACACACAGACACACACACTCGCACACGCAATAGCAGCACGTAAGAGAGATAGAGTGAGAGCGGCAAATGTTTGCTCTACAATTACATTACAATTTTTACACAATCAACGTCATCGTCATCGTCTCATCGTAATAATAATCAGGCAAAGTGAAGTATCAAATTACAGTCATGGACTACGAGCCGAACTGAATGGCAATCGTAGCAGCCGCAGAATCTTCGACTCTTGTTTCTCCACCCCTCACATTACACATACGCCGTGTGTGTGGGCTGCCTGACTATGGCAGAGACCTCACACAGCGCAATTCTAATCAATTTTTATTATTTTTATAAACCTAGGCAGCAGTCAGCGCCCAAGGCAGCGTCTCAGGCTGAGTTGCCTGCCTTTGGCTTTGTTTCGTCTACGAGAATTTATCTAGCAAGAGGTAGCAAAAACAAATGGCACGCCTGGGGGGAATTGTTGCTTCACGTATGCCCAAAACTTTTTTTTCGGCGGCTGCTGCTGCTGTTGCTGACAAACGCACAAAAAACGCGTTAAGGCTTGGGGGGGCAACGGCGCGGTATGTTGGATGGCTGACTGCTAAGGACGCTCGAATGTGTTTACGTTATGATTTTCGAAATCAAAATTCAGCACGAATAGGAATAAATTTACTTCCGAATGTCATTAAATTGTTTTCCGATAGAACGTGTATATTTCACGCAAGAAGTTTTGCCGCTCAGCATGGGGCTGACAGGGTTTTTACGGCAAGACGTTCTGGCTTCTTTACGTCCTTAGCATCCTGCCATTCTCACTCCGCACTTTGATTTCCTTTTATTATTACGGTACTTGATATTATTGATTTTGATTGAGATTTATGTTGCTGGGCCCGACTGCTTCTTCCTGTTGCCACTACACACACTCTACCTGTTGTTGTTTTTGTTGTAGTTGTTGCTATTGCTGCTGCTACTGCTGCTGTAAATATTTAGCATATTTTCGCCAAGTTGCCTGTTACACTGAACGGCATGCATAAATTTTGCTGTTGCATGGCAAGTTTTTTGATTAATGCACAAAGTTTTGCCATGTGCAGCGTTTAACTAATAAAACTTTGGCAGACACGATTTTTTTTCAGCAATTGACTTAACAACTCTCTCACCCTTCCCTTCACTTGTTTCAGCAGAACTCGTCGGTGGTGCAGAGCGACTATCGCATTCAATCGCCTGCCGGTGGATCACCCTTGCCGCTATGCGCCGGGGGCAATGTGACCAGTAACAATGCAAACAGCTCGGGCGACAGCAACTGCAGCACTGTGGCCATCTTACAAAACAACACGAGTGCTGTAAACGCCTCAGCGGCCGGCAACAATACCAATGCAGCCGGCGGACCCAATACCGTGCTGCGCGTAATTGTCGAGACTCTGATGTATCCAGTTTCGTTGGACATATTGCATCAGATATTCCAACGTTTTGGCAAGGTGCTAAAAATAGTTACCTTCACCAAGAACAATTCATTCCAGGTGGGTAAAGCAAAATATCTTTTAAATCAATGCATAATATTTAATATAAATCTTGGTCTTTTTTAACAGGCGCTCATCCAGTATCCGGATGCCCACTCTGCACAGCAGGCCAAGTCTATATTGGATGGCCAGAATATCTACAACGGTTGCTGCACTTTGCGCATTGACAACAGCAAATTGACCGCCTTGAATGTCAAGTACAATAATGATAAGTCACGTGACTTTACGAATCCGGCGCTGCCACCGGGCGAGCCGGGCGTCGATCTCATGCCCACTGCCGGCGGTCTCATGAATACAAATGATCTGCTGTTGATTGCTGCCCGCCAGCGGCCCTCACTAACAGGTGATAAAATAGGTAACACAAACAGAACAATTTCCTTCTATTATAATTTTATTTTCTGTGCTTGTAACGCCTGCTCACACACACGCACGCACGCACACACGCGCATACACACACACACACACACACACACACACAAATATACATACATAGAACGCTTTGATTTAAGACTTTTTGCCTTTGACACTCGCTATCGATTCGTCTAATATTTAAGCCGCATGCAATTGTGCAACAGCAACCTTATTACTCTTATTACTATCTCTCTCTCTCTCTCTCTGAACATTTTTTAGTCAACGGTCTGGGAGCACCCGGCGTGCTGCCACCTTTCGCCTTGGGCCTGGGCGCACCACTCACCGGCGGCTACAGTAACGCCCTGCCCAATTTGGCCGCCTTCTCGCTGGCCAACAGCGGCGCCCTGCAAACAACTGCGCCCGCCATGCGCGGTTACTCGAATGTTTTACTCGTTTCGAATTTAAATGAGGAGGTAAGTGCTTAATGTTCCAATCTCTTAAATAGAACAAGACCACGACTAAATAGCGGCCCACAATTGAATATATATATATATCCACATATGCCTACATGCTCCCCATACTTCCTATTTACTCACAAATTGCAAAAGTACTCGTACATGACCTCTAATTAGTTTGCATTTCGTCTATAAATATTTTCACAAAAGCCGCATACTATTTATATTAATATATTTTCATTAAAATTTTAGTTTTTTCCAAATTTATTCCATCTTCTGTGGTAAATTATAAAAAGCGAGTACACACGTATCCTAGAATTTTAATTTTATATTTTATCTACTTAAAGTAAAATAAAAATAAATTAGATTAATTAATGCTATACATGTGCTATACATTTTGTATCATTTTTTGCTATTTATTATTTATGATTTATATCATTTTTACATACATCTACAAACAAAACTCTCGCTAACTGACAACAAACTTCTATTTCTCTTTTTCTCTGTAGATGGTCACGCCTGATGCTCTATTTACCCTCTTTGGTACGTCTGCACAAAACAAAAACCAAATACAAAATACATATCTTACATACTATATATATATGCCAAATATATTTATATAGAATATATAAATTGTTAATTTGAGCAACCACAGTCAGTGGCTCAGCTAAGCAATATGCAAGGCAAATATCTAAATTGCATCCAATCTTTATTTGATCTTCTTCGCTTCTACCACACTGCCCCCTTATCTTTTGCCTTGCCTTGCCCCTGACTGGCTGGGCCACTGTCTTAGCTCTTAACCACAAACGTAATTCTTGACCACTTTATTAGTCGTACACTTGTTTATTCATTGAATTTAGAAAACGTAGGAAAGTTAAAACAGCTGCCAAAAAGTCAACTACTGACTGCGACCCACACATTGTAGCTGCCATCCTCTCCTAGCTCTAGCTCTAACTCTAACTCAGCATCAGCACCTCCACCCCTGCTTGCATCCCTTAGCGCAACTCGTTGGCGTAATTCCGTTTGAAATTTACGCCATTTACGTGCAATCAGGAAAAGTGCCATGAATTATTTATACATACGGGTGTGGAATAGCATGGGTGAAATGGAAGACACAAAACAATGGCTAGAACATTGAAAACGACGAACACAACAAAACGACTAACAAAATGTTTTAAATATTAAGCAAGTTTTTAAAAACAAATTGCCGATTACAAGAACATCGCTCGGCTAGCTACCTACGTATTTTCCAACATTCCACACAGGTACAAACAACATTAAAATTGTTTTTTTGTGGTATTTACTCTGAAGTGCATTTTTAAAATACCTATTGCAAATGAAAAATAATAAAAATAAAAAAAAAGGTTAATACTTAGAATTTATAAGTGCCTTGTTATTGTAAAATACTTTAAATTATTTTTGATTTGCAATTGGTATTTTGCATTATATATTGAATCACCATGGAAAAATTTGTGGGATTTTTGACTTAAGATTTTATAATTATTTTAAATTTAATTCGTTGAAAAAAATACACAGAAAACCTTTAAGTCAATTATTTGAAACAGACTTACTCCGAATTACTGTATCACATGTTTTCCTTCAAATCATGCGCTTTTATCTTTTACTAAATCTACAATCCTTTAGGGTCCTTGAGAGCTTATAAAGCTAATCAAAACAAGGTAAAAAAATCTTTTTACTTTTTTACAATGCAAGGCGTGAGCATAAGAAAGCCATAAGCCCAGTGCATAAAAATGTCATAGCCAGAGGTGGCAGCAGTCGCAGCCATGACAACGGAAATTCGCATTAAATAACAACATCTAAATGCTGAGGTGAATTTCCTCTGGTTTAAATAGTAAATTCTCATATATATTGTATTGCAATGCACGGGACAGCAATGGCAACTACTACAAATGGCTTTCTAATAGCTTTTTGCCAGAGGCAGCGAATCCATCAGCTTGCAATTGAAATAGTTTTACCACTGCGTAAAAATCGCAACGTAATCTTTAGATACTCGACCACATACTCACACACACACGCATATACACAAGCAGCCAGAGGTAAAGCGTATGATAGAGATGGAGAGCGCAAGAGATAGCAACAGTTGCATATGCAGAGGCTGCCACTGGCAGTTATCCTGTCATAAGTTGTGCTTACAAATTGTAAAACAATGAAAATGAAAATATATGCACTTGCATAAATCTACACTAACCACACACACACACACACACATGCTCGCACGCTCCTACACACATACCAACGTATTAAAAAAGCATTCTGTGGCAAACGGGCAACAAGTGAAACCGCACTCAGACACACACTTGCACGGCATCCTGTTGCTCCTTGGTTGCCGTTGTCTGCGACATGCTCGTGTGCATGTAAAATTACATGAATTAAGTGCGCTCCACTCTGTGCCCCATCTGCCCCCATGTTCGCCCATTGTAAGCGGCTCGCTCTCAGCTCGGCTCAAAATATTATATATATATATATATATGTATATATACAGGACACATGCTTTAACATGGCGCTCATCCTGCCGCACACATATACAAAGACACACACACGCGCTCGCACAACAAAAGATTGAGTGCGGAAGTGCATAGCTATAAAAATGTCCATTTATTTAGTTATCATTGCGCTTGTTGCTGTTGCTGTTGCCGTTGCTCTTGTTGCCACCATGTGTGTGTGTCGTCTCCCTTCCTCCCCGATTTACCCTCCCTAACTGTATGCATATGTGTGTGTGAGTGCATTTTATACACTCACAGTTTTTGCTGGCTTTACAATTGAAATAAAATTTACTTGTGACTTTTCGGAGCTAGTTGTTTTGGATAGCTGAGTGCTTAGGCGGTGGGTTGGTGGGTTTTTAAGTTGGGTAATTGTCTCCTTGCTGCCTTTTTGTCGTCTGCCGTACGCCGTGTGTGGCATGTCTGTTTGCCAAATGAATTTAACTAACTTTGTAAAGTTAATGGGGTTTGCTGTTTGAATTGCAGCTACAACTTCTCCTGGCCGAGAACGTTTTGTTTCATTGTGTGCGTATGTGTTGTTTTACTATTTTATAGCAATTGGACTTGACTTTTCGCATACGCTGCATTTAACTTGTTTTCACTGCCTGTATCCTATCCCTTTATCTGTTTGTTTTATTTAATAACCAAAATACTTCGATTGCTACGAGTGCCTGCAGCACAATTTGTTAGCAACAGTTCGTTGTTGTTGCTGCCAAGTGTAGCGCATAATTGCAGCATAATGGATTTGTTGCCACAACACAAAATGCCGCTGCTGCCCTCTACTGGCCGTATCGCATTTTTGTGCTGCAACAGCACAAAACTTGGCAACCACATACTCACACACTCACACACGCACAACAATGTTAAGTCTGTTGCCGCCTTTGTCTCTGATGACACAAAACGGTTTGTTTTTGCGGCTTATTTACCCACAGAGACATGTGTGTTGTGTTTGCCATGTGTGTGTGTGTGTGTATTGTGTGTGTGTATTGTGTGTATCTGTCTGTTTTGTTTCTGTGCGCCGCTTTGTTTGCATGCAAATGCATTTAATTTGAGTTTAAATACCCAAATATAAACTTTTGCCAAACAAACGCAACCACAGAGCGAAAGGTCCAGAACGTATGCAGCAGCATGTGGGCGGCATTAAGGGCTGCCTGTGGTGCAAGCTGCTTGTCTTTAAATACAAGTGAATACAAGTGAATACACTTATAATCATCACATACGTACGTAAATGTATTCATACGTAAATGTATTCATTTGTGTGGTATTTATTTACAAATTGCATTGTATTCTGCCAGCAATTCGGACTTTATCGTTGATAAAGTAAACAAAAATTTGTCAAACGCATTAATTGTTTAAAAATGATTATTGCTTGTTGATGTTGTTGTTCTGATAGTTAGAGCTATTCAAATACACATAAACATAGTCTAGCCGCATAACCGCAGAGAGCGCCCAACTAAGGGCAGCTTAAAGAAACTGAGCCACAGTAAATCCTATCAGCAGCTCGTTAGCCACAGTTAAGACTGACTGCAACTAGGAACTGGCAGCATTTGCCTTTCTTTTGGCAGCTACCAGATGGCAGTTGGCAGCTGCCTGCAGTGCTAATAAAGCTTCGATTGCTGATTTAACGCCAAGCGGACCAGGAGCGAGTCGTATCAAGTGAAGCGTAGAGCAGAAAATTGTTAGATGTACGGTATCATACGCCCTGTTGCACACAGCAAGCGAGACGTCGATAAGCTGAACGCTCTAAAGCGTCTTACTGCTTACCATCATCGGGGCCCAGGACATGACTTGAAATGGCGTGCCAATAGATTTAGATAAACTCGCCAGCGACATGACGGCAGTCTAAGCAAGCAATCAGCTAAATGGCAGCGCTAAAATTTTATGTAATAACTTTTGAATTTCCAAGTAGCTGAACGCAACGCACACGACCCCTGGCCACGAGTGACACTTGAGGCAAGTTGTACGACAAACAAGCTGGCGACTGGCCCCACACACACACACACACACACACATGCAAACACACTCAAACACACAAGTGTTTAATATACGCATAGCGCCTTTTGTTATGTTAATGGCACCAATGAGCTGGGACACGTAACCACAATTTTCCCACATGACGCGAACGCCAATGTCTGACGGCCACGTTTAGGTGGCAAATTTAGCACTTCAATCATAGCTCTCTGGCAAAGTTTGTTGTTGCTATTTCTATTGGTGCTGCTGCTTTTGGCTAAAAGCTGTTTGCATATCAAATAATAAAAGAAGCAAGCGTAAAGGTTGCAACGCCCGCCGCAAACAGCGCACTTCAAACGTTAACGTTTAGATTGATCAAGCCCAATTGAAAAAAAAGGCCCACGTTCGGGGCCAACCCTTTCCAAAGGAGACATTTTATTAGTTTTGACAGCGCTTTGTTGTTGGCCAGCCCCAAACGGTTCAATCGAGCGACCCGCTGGCTGGCTGCCCTCTTCAATGCTACGATGTCTATGACACGGTCTTTAGACACTTGACACATGCCGCCTGCCACATGCCAAATGCCGCATACCGCATGCCATATGCCAGTTGGTCTGTCAGCCGTGCTAATAGAGCCTATTGCTGGCAACAAAACTGTTGCCTACTTTTTGGGCCATTCACAGCTTTTTGACCCTCTTTTTGCATATACAATAAAAACTTAATCAGTCTGCAATCGTCTAGTAAAACCTATATGTGTGTTTCTGTGTGTGCTTGTGTGGGTGAGCGCGTGTGTGTATTGGTAATCAGCTTATGTAATTGTAATGGCGTGCTAAAAATTTATATCACTGCCGAAAATATTGTGGAAACGTGTTTAATTGAATTTTTATGAGCTTGCTGGGAACTGCGTGCGTGATTTTTGCCGGGCGCTGAAAAAATTTCATAAAATTTTATATGCTACATGTAGAATGGCAGTCGTCAGGAAGGTTTGGCAGACAGCCCAGGGGTTGCGCAACGATTTGATAAAATGCTGTGACCGGAAAAAGGCAAAAATATGTGCGAATAATTTCAATGAAAATTTATCATAATTTTACAAGTTCCGTTTAACTAAAAAGCATGCCATAGAATTGGGTACCTGAGCGCGTTTTCCTGCGAATTGGGTGACTATGGCTTTCAAATAAAATGAACAATTCACAGAACTTTGCTTGTTAAATCCTATTCCTAAACATTTCATCAATTTAGTATTGCAGAGTTGAGGCACAGAATGTATTATATATTAACTCAACAACTTCAGCATTGATCACAGCACATTCACTTAGCCATCTGAAGTTTTCACGAAGCTTACTTCATGGGAGCCACAAGCCACAAGAAAATTTGCATTTAACGTCGGACAACTGCGATATTTTTTCATCTAAAATATACGCTCAAACGGACGACTAATGGGCCGCCGGGGAATCGGCGCGAACGCCAGAAAGTATGCAAACATATTCAAAGTCAGCCGCATGGCTGTACAAATATGGCTAAATCTTTTTGCGATAATAAATTATTATAAAGTCTGGCTGCCAGACTGGCTCACTAGCTGGAGGCGGTCTGCCTGTAGTCAGTTTGCATGCCATCCGGCTGGCGGAGCCGCAGCAGCAGCAGCAGCAGCAGCGGCAGTTGCTCACACGCCCCGTTGGACGTCAAACTGCGAAGCTGCTGCTGCTGCGATGCTGCTGCCGCTGGTACTTCTAATGCTGGTGCAATGCTAACCAGAAGACTGGCATTCAATATGCTCCACAGCCGATGCCTGGCAGATACGTACGATGTTTGCCTGGCTAAGTTGGCTCGCTTGGCTTGCTTTATTGCTGCAATTGTTGCTACGGCAAGCCAATTTGAAGCAAACGAAATTTTTCGGTGTTTGGCATAAGTCAAGTTTCAGTTCACAGTACTTTCCTGGCTTGTGCTGTGCAGTCAGCCAGTCGAGCAGCCAGTCGACTGTATAAAATGGATTTACTGCCAACTGTTGAACTATGCGCCGTTCCCGCACTATTTACTACCTGCATTTCTATTGCTACTTTTGTAACTTGTTAGCGCTTCCCATCGCTGCTCCTCAGCTCTCTCCATTTTACTGCCACTGGGCATTGGGTTTTTTTCGTTTTTCGTTTTCTGCTTTTGGTTTTTTTTTTTTTTTTTTTTTTTGGGAGGGCTAGTTGAAAATTTACTTTTCGCATTATTCGATTTGTTGTCTTGGGCAACCGAGGGTGCCTGCACTTTACATTGTTTGCATTGGGCGTTGCTGAGGGGTTATCGAGGGCGTGGGGCGGGGTTGCGACCTTTTAGCTACCAACTACTATTTTTATGCTTGATGGCAATTTGCGCCCTGCTGCAAATTTGCCGCTGATTGGCTACACACGGACTGCTGGACAAGAGGGACATAGGGCGAGCTTATTTTCACCTCCGCTCCGGACAGCTGTCAAAGCAAAGTCCATTGGCCAGGCTAAAGAAATCACTAGCAATTGCTCTTGCTCTGCACTTAAAGTATCTTAAAGTTTGACGGCACAATATGGCGCCAGAGCAACTGGACCCAATGCATATTGGATACTTTGCGGCGCCGCCGCGTAAGTAAAGTCATAAAATACAATTCAATAACGCGCCCGGCAAAGAAACTTGCCAACTCCCCAACTGCAACTCCCCAACGCCAACGTCACACTCACACCTTGTCTGACAGCTGTAAAATCAGCCGCGTGGCGCAGCCTTAAAAAGTATGCAGCCGGATACGGAGTCAAGCTAGAGCCAGTGCTGAACTGGAGCTGGAGCTGGAGCTGCGGCTTGAGAGGATGGCGTTGCCGAAGCCCATAGCCTGGAGTCGGTCGTAAAAAATAGCTGAGAAAACTTATTGAGCTAGTTATGAGTTTCGTACATGATACTAACGGCTCCGTCCCGACAATAATACCAAGCAGCATCAGCCGCACCTGGAAGATGGCAACCACGGCTAGGGTGATGGAGAAGCGGCTGGGAAAACCATCTTCGTACACGTTATGGCTTTTTGGTGGTGTGTAAAAGTTTCGTCCTTTGACGGCAGCAACATTTGCTCGTTGCATAAAACGCTCGTAGCTGTCCGAATTTTCCAGGCCCGCCATTTGAATTGAGCGGCGCTTAAGTCGCGTCTTATGGCCGCGCTCTACTTTGTAGATTGCATCGTAAGAGTTGATTCGTTAGCTGGATAGGTGGGGTATATACAGCTGCCTACAACAGGGACTAAATATTTGGGATATATTCATTAGTTCGACAACAGCAGCTACAATGTGTGTGTTAGGATAGCAAATAGTGGGTTACTTTATTAATGTTCACCTTGCTTTTGTACTTTTATATGCGTACTCTTAACGGCATTGCAACAAAATGAAATCCATATTAATAATGCCAACCATTTCGCAATTCACAGGTGTATACGGCGATGTGCAACGTGTAAAGATTTTGTACAACAAAAAGGACTCGGCACTCATACAAATGGCAGAGCCACAGCAAGCTTATTTGGGTAAGTCAAACATGCCGAAACCTACAGCCCTGCCCTCGTCCCCTCCGACAGGCCACCCCAAAAGTAATGAAAAATCTGCGCTCGTTGCGGCGTTGAAAGGCACATCAGATACAAAAAAAAAGAAGAAAATAAAACTGGTCGCTCTAGTTGAGAGTGATAGACAGGGGGATACCCTGAAAACAGTTTTTAAGTAGCACATTCGTTAATTTATATAAAAATATAACTTTGTCAACATTCGATGCATCAGAAATCACGGGCCTAATGAGCTGTTGTAACGATATATCACCAGTTAAAAGCACATAGGAAATTAATTTGCCTGGGAGATGGAAAAATGTGTTAACTAGAAAATAAATGATAATATTAAGTGCCTCGCGTAGGATTCTTTACCAGATTTTGGTTCTTTAGATGTATTACGAATCATCGATCAGTTAGCTGTCGATTACCATCAAGAACATATCAATTTTAGGGCGCTATATTATCGGCATATATTGGTCATCTTTGTAACCATATATATTAACAGGGTATAAAAAAAATGGATAAATGAAATGCGAGCAACAGCAACTGCAATTTGCAGCTGGTTTAAAATGAGAAATTCCTGCAACATGAAATTCCAAACATTGCATACCTTTGGCAGCCATTGTTGCCCACTGTTCTTGTTGCTGTTGCAGCTGCAAGTGCAGCAAACAAAATGTATTAATAATAAAAATTGTTAAAGCGAAAGAGATGGAGAAATGGACAGATATGCACAGTTGAGTAGAGTATAGCTACAGCGACGCCAGGAGAGCCGAGCGGCTCGGTTGGCTGGCCGTGCGCATAAATGAAATTTTATAAGCGCTTTATTACCAGCGTCTGTCCAACACCTGGTCTGGTTGCTTTTCTGCCCCACCTGTCGTGCTGCTGCTGCCTCTCTCAGAGGCGGCTTCTGCCTCTGGGCGTCACTGGGGGCAGCAAAAGGCTGACCCATGCTCGCTCAGCAGGACATGCCAATCATTTTATTGCATTTATTTGTGTGCACTTTGCCATTGTCAGGTTGCCGCAGCCCCCATCTCTTATGCTCCATACACCTCATTCCCTTTGGCTGTTAGTGTGCGCATTAAACGAAATGAAAATCGCCGCGCATTGCGAGGCGTTAAGAGCAGTCAACCGACGTGCCAAATTCCACTTTATTACGTACAAAAGAAAAAAGACAGGAGTGCTCTAGTCGGGAGAGTCCGACTGGGAGATACCTTGAACTCAATCTCAAGCTGGTCTTACAAACATTTTACATTCTATCTTCTACACATTCACCAAAACATATATTATAAACATAGCCCTTCCTGCGCGTTTTAAGGAGTTGATTTACTTAGTCTTGCATTTGGCTTTAGCTATCTAAACCTGAAATTTTTGTAATCTGTATATATGGAGTTAATCTTGAAAAAACTACTAAGCTCGTCATCACCATTACGAATATATTTACTTTATGGGTACGGAGATGCTTTCTTCTGCCTGTTACATACATTTGCGCAAAAACATAATACCCTTTCTAGCCATTTTCAATGGGTTCGAGGTATTAAATAAAAAACAGCAGGAAAAACAGAGGCAGCGTTGGCAGCGACACCTTTTCAATTTCAATTTGGTTTTATTCCATTTAATACATCGGCAAGGCCAGGAAGACGGCCGGGTGGCGGCTGGTCAAGGTAGGGGGCTTTTGTTCATCTGAAAAATAACTCAAAAGCAGTCAAAGTTGTACCGCCGTTGGGCGCTAAATTGAAAATTGGAAATGACAACGAGCAGTCGTTAAGCATTGTAATTGCAAGCAAGCATTGCGCATACGCAGCGTTGTTTCTGGTTGCTTGCAGTTGTGCTTATTACTCACTTTAAGCCGCTTTGGGGCATGCAACATACATATAAATATGCAATAATTACGCAAAAGTACTTAAGCTGCTGACGCTTAAATGCTTAACAAATAATTTTTCACATATTCCATATGCGTATAAATATGTGTATATAATTTCCAATGTTTTTGGTTGTTTTTTTCATCATTTTTTTTTTTTTGCTCGTTGTGCCCGCAGCATCACATACAGCAGTCGTTGTTATTAATAAAGTTTAAATAAATTTAATTAGTGAAATAAATGCCATGCACATTAATAGCAGCAACAGCGTTAAGCATTGCAGCGGAAATTGTCAGCAAATTGCGCGAATGGCAGCTGGCCAACATTAATGTACATGCACTGCAAAAATAAATGCCATCTTTTTGCTCCTCCTGTACTTTTTTTTATCAATTTCAATTTAAAAACCAAATAAAAAGAAGAGAAAATATGTCAACCAGCAGCAAAAACAATCATTGGCCATTGCCTTTGATGATCCGTTAAAAATATGCTTTGTGCTGCACTCAATTAACTTTTGCAATTATCATTATGCAAACATGTTGCTATTTGGTGTTCTTTTTTTTTTTGTTTGATTTTGTTTTGTTTATGCAGCTGCATATTTAAGCTCAAAAGCATTCCAACTTTGTGCTGATTTATGCTTAAGTAATGCGAGCTATTGGTGCTTTCGCTCCATTTGCTTTCCCAGTTTGGTTCTGATTTAATTATTTTTCAATTTGTTTGGCTAATCCGTTGCATATTTCAAAATACATCAAATTATTTAGTTTGCTAATGTCTCCGAATCCGATGCCAGCCAACCTCTCGTATACGCACTTTTAATTATATTTGTTAGTGAGTTGACAAAAGGCAAACCGCAGCATGTGGTGTAGCTGATGTAACTATTTTAGATTCGCAAACAAAATGGCTCGCTTTATTTGTGGCAACAAAACCAATGCTATTCGACAAGCAAATTATTGTACACACATAAACACACACATCCACCCAATTGCTGCTGGCATGTGGAAATATTAATGGCCCTGCGTCAACATACAGACTACTAATGTGCCGCGAGGGCTGCCAAATGGCAAACACTTCCGGCTGAGTACCGCCGGCCTCTCTCCTGGCATCTGTCCGTCTGCTAGTCCGCCAGGCCGCCCGTTTGGCCGTCCATCCGTTTGTTCAGGTATCGTCGCACTAGCCGCCGTGTAAGTGTGTTGGTTGTTTTGGGCGTCTGGCTGTTGGTCGGTGAGTGCGCACTTATGCACTCATAAAATATTAACAAATTCATTCGTTACTTTGCCCAAAACTCTCGCAACTCTGCCAGAACAAAGACGATTACCGACCCTGAGCCAGCCCAGTCTATTTCCCAGGCAGCAGATGTCCTGGCAGCCCCTAGCCCCTTGCCAACCAATCCAGCCCACACCCATGCATATAAAAGTGTCTCTCCAGAGGAGGACAGTATGGTGTTTGTTGTTGCGCACAAAATACGGCTACAATTGCACACTCAGCATACGAATTACAGCGTAAAGGCGAAAAGAACTTTTTTGTCTGTGTAAATGAAGTCAAGAGAACGAAGCGCCTGCCTGCCGGACAGCTAGACAGCCGAACAGACCGAGCCCCAACTCGGTCCAAATAAAGTGCGACAGCAATCAAGAGGCAAAGCCAAAGCACAAATAGACAAAAACACAAACACCCACAATGAAAAAACAATAAGCACTGGGCGGGCACTCGATAGTCCACTCCATTGAAGCAGCTTGAGGTGTGTGTGTGTGTGTGTGTGTATGTTGTGTTGGTGTGTGTGTGTGTGGGAAATATTATAATGGCCCATTCGGCCAGGAGTTGGCGTTGACGTTGGCGACGCTGTCGACATTGTGCAAATGGCCGCTGGCCGGACGCGAGCCATTTGTTGGCTGCCGTGCCGGGATTAAGTTTTTGCGCAACTTATTACAAACTATAGACAGAACTCTCATATAAATTTATAGGCACACGCACAGCTGCACAGCTCACTGTGGCTGCCCAGCTAGCTCCACATTCTCCCTCTCCTGTTATAGTTGTTATCTGGGGAATTTTGCGTAAATAAATTTTTGCTATACAAATTACTACAAAATATTTTGCATGAACAGCAGCGTACGCATAAAAGCATTTACAATAAAAACAAACAAATATTTTTGCAACAGCAACAGCCACACACATACAAGCATGCTGACACACACGCACACATACTCATGTGTATTGTATATATAATAAGGTCCGATTACGTATACGCCAAGTGAAACTTGTGTGAAGAGTTTTGACAAACTTTTGCGTTAAGTGACTCCTTGAATGAATTGGCGTCCATCTTTATGTGCTCCAAATTAATTATGCAGTGTTCAAGCACCGCAAACTTTTTTATGAACTGACTTCAGGTAGTACTTTGTGCCATAAACCAATATAACAAATATCGCAGCGATTGCCAGGCGACTTCGGTTAGTCAGTTTTCTTCAGATTAATCAATCTCACCTGAGCCAGGCTAAAATGGATGTTAGGTCAAAATTGACACGACGTTAACAATACTTTAATTATATTGTCGTGTTGTTGGCTTAAACAACTGAAATGGGTTAATGCACTCACAAATCCTTTCAGCCACATCTACAAGTCATTTTGGGGTCTTTGGGCAAACTTTACTGACTCATATTTTTCGGGATTCAATGGTTTTCTACGGTGCTCAGCTGTGCGTGCACTTTTTATAAATATTTTGTTTTTGTTTTTTGTTTTTCATAATGTCTTGTAAGTTAATAATGATTTGTTGTTGTTGGAGTTGCTGTTGCTGTTGCTGCTATTGGTCAGGCTGGTAATTAAAAGTTTGAGTTACTTTTTGAGTTGGGCCCCCAGGCTCAAAGCCACGAGAGCTGCCGCCACGAGCGCAGCTGCAGCACATTTTGAAAGGCGCTGCGATGATAGGCAAAGTTAGTCCTACCATTTTGGGCTAGCAGAGCAAAGCGCTGGCTCTCTCGGCTGCACATTAATCTTTATTACAAGTGTTTGTCATACAGACATACATACATGCATACATACATACATACATGCATACATACATACATACATATATATTCTCGTCGCATGTGGCAAAATGGCAGAAGCGTTTGTCACTGCTGCTGCTGTTGCTTGCCTTTCGTCTCGTTGTCCTTTAGCCGACTGGCCTTTATTTTACAATTTATTATGTTTTCAAGCCGTATTTTGTATTTTTTTGTAAAATCATTTAATCCATTAGGCAAACAATAAACGGCTGAGTAAGCATATTATTTTACAATAAAGCATAAGCAACCTAACACGATGTCATCTACTTCCCACCCACACACTCCACGGCCCCCATCTCAATGTCCATGACAACTGAGCAAAATGATAAAATGTTCTATAATTTATTAAAATAATGCATAAAAAGGGACACGTTCTGAGCTGAAGCATACCAACTCCCAGTCCCTGTCCCAGCATGACTTCACAAGAAATTGAATAAAAATGTAATCGAAATTGAAATCGTAATCGTAATCGAAAACGAATATGAAAATGGAAACAGTGTTTATTTCGTTTAACTGGCATGTTGTGCAACTGTTGTCTATTTGCAATTGAGCCGCAGGTGTTATGACTATCGAGACCATGAGAAACAAACGACGTCTCGTTGGGGGTGGCTGGAAACAAAAAAAAAATTGGAAAAAAAAACTGAAACAAGAGCAAACTTTTGCGGGCAATGCATTTTATGGCGAGTCATTTGCTTGTAAATCACCAAAGGCAGACGACATTGATAAAGTTGCAGTTACATTTTAGTATGTAAATATTTGCTTGCACTTATTGCTGACTTTGACTCCAGAAGGAGGTTCTGGGTAATTTTATGGCTTGTAGCGCAACACATTTACATACATGTATATATATATACATGTACATATATATATATATATACTACACATAGTAAATTGCATCAGACACATATGTAAACACATGTTATACAACATGGAACGTGAACAAATATTCTATCACCCGCACAAGCTGTACAAGCTCTTCGCAGAACCGTTCCCACTAAATTCATGTATTGCCATTCGTTTTAACGTTTTTAACATTGTGTTTTATTTTGTTGTTGCCATTTTTTTATTTTTATTTTTGCAGCCATGTCTCACCTTGATAAATTACGTTTATGGGGCAAGCCAATACGTGTCATGGCCAGCAAACATCAGGCCGTGCAACTGCCCAAGGAGGGACAGCCGGACGCGGGCCTCACACGTGACTACTCACAGAATCCATTGCATCGTTTCAAAAAGCCCGGCAGCAAGAACTATCAGAACATCTACCCGCCATCGGCGACACTGCATTTAAGTAACATTCCGTGAGTATCTATTGTTGAGCATCGTTTCGTTGTCTAGCGTTTAAAGCTGCCTTGCGTAACGCGTGCACAGCTGGAGTTGGTTTTCTCATCAGCAACGCCACGCGGGCAATTACAATTACCGTTATGAGCAGCACCACCTCCCGAGCCGGTGGCCCATTCACAGCTCCAGCTACAGCTACAGCCACAGTCGCAGTCGCAGTCGCAGTCGCAGCCATTGTCAGAGGCAAACGTCCCGCGTCGCTTTGTCTGCCAAATATGACAAAGCGCCCCGCCAGCTTTTTGTTTGCCATGGCGGGGATGAGGCGGCAAGGTGCCTGCCGTTTGAATTTATGTGCTTATGGCAATGCCTGTAGCTGTAGCTGTGCCTCTGTGCTTGTGCTTGTGCCTGCTGTTTTGGTGTGGTGTTTATGCGATATCTATAGACGCGCAGCATGCCAATTTAAATCGATAGGTGTTAATTTAACGTGCGAACGTTTTTCTTCTTGCTACTTACAGCTCATCCTGTACCGAGGATGACATCAAAGAAGCCTTCAGCTCCAACAATTTCGAGGTTAAAGCATTCAAATTTTTCCCGTAAGTAAATGAATATAAAGATAACAATTTAGAGCGAATATAACTAATTAGATTTGTATGCATTTGCAGTAAGGACCGCAAAATGGCGCTGCTGCAACTGTCGTCGGTGGAGGAGGCTGTGCTGGCACTGATCAAAATGCACAACCATCAGCTGTCCGAGTCGAATCATTTGCGCGTGAGCTTCTCCAAGTCGAACATCTAGAATCCGACCCGTGGTCAGGTTCACTGAACTTGACTGAGTGCCAACAGCAGCTATGCACTACGGCAGCAGTTCTTTTGGCAGCAACAGATACAATCTATTATTCGTAGTACAAGCGGCGTGCTGGGCAATCGCCATCACATCCACTTCAACTGAGAAAGCGAGCCCAACCAACCCAATACAACCCAACCCATCAAACAACAGCAGCAACAATCGATGCAAGAGCTATAGCTACTTATATACAAACAAAATCTAAAATCTAATTTCTGTTTTTATTATAACAATGCGCAAAACTCTATCATAACACTTACTACAGAAATTCTAAAAACTAATAAACAAAACTATACAATTAATTAATATATATATATATATTTAAATGAAGAATACAATTTCAAATTTCAATTGTAAGACAAGCATTAAGAGAAACAAATACAACAAATAGAAAGGGAAACACAAAAGCAGCCCACTAAACAATCAGCGACGTCGTATAATCATAAGCTTAAAGTTAAAACTTAAATTTAGTCCATAAGTAAGTTGCATTGCATAGAGAGAAAGAAGAAGCAAAGCAAATTTAGAACTAACTTAAGTGCACTGTACTGTGTTTTGGTTTTAAGAAACAGCAGAAAGTCAAAACAAAAACAAAAAAAAAAAACAAATCAATTTATGTTAAACAATGGAGTAAGCAAAAAAAAAAAACAAAACAAATTTTTATTGTGTACGAGTATTTACTGTTATTATATTTTAAGTGATTGAAACTTTGATTGAAAACCCTTATTTTTTACAAAAACAACAAAAAACAAAAGAAAAAGAAAAAACATATGAACTTAAAGTGCATGCGCGCATTTAAGCAGTTTTTAAACGTTTTTCATTTTGTTAGCCGTACCAGTAATGTTAAAAGTAAAGTTAATCTCAAAAAAAAAAAAAAAACAATCAGCGTGCATACTGACTCTTTAAATGTAATTGGAGCCAAGCAGAATGGCGCAGAAATGTATTAAATTTAAATATAATAAAGCAACTATTCGGGCACTTGAAGAGAAACCCCATTATAAATTAAGTACGTCTGTTCGTTTAGCATTAAAACAAAATAAAGAAAACAAAACTAAAAGGTAATAATAAAGGCAGTTAAACAAAAAATAAATAAAAAACAAAATAGAAAACTAAAATAAACGCGTACGTAAAACCTTCTGTGTGTGTATATGTAAGTGTTGTTAAACTAGCAAAATATATACACAAACGAAAATATAAGAAAGAAATATATACTGCATAATGGATATACATACATATGCATACATATAAGTATATGTTGAACTACAACAAAAACATGAAACAGGAAAAAAAACAAATTTTTAGCTACGGAAGTAAAATCTCAAAAATCGTAATTATATTTAGGCCTAAGCTTACCGAAAGACATATAAGTGTTTTTAGCAAAACAAATACAAACAAACAAAAAAACAACAAAAAGAAAAATGAACAAAAAAACTCAATGATTTTTTGATAATTTTACAAGAACCCCACACAACCATGAGAACACACACAGAGACAGACAGGCACAACTAACTATACACACATCAATGTTTATATATATTTAGAAAGTGAAATTATTTATACGTTGGCGCAAAAGAACAAAAACAAACACAAAAAGAAGAAAGGAGAAAAAAGAAATAAAAAATAAAAACAAAATTATTAAATAAACTAATTGTAACTGTAACTGAATGATATGGATTTAGTTTTTAAGCATAAGTAGCAGTGATCGTAATTTAAAATTAACAATTTACAGAAATAGTAAATATTGAAGCAAAAAACGTGTACGAAAAGCAACAGTAAAATATTGTAAAATGTATAATTAAATAACATACGGTATTTGCAGTTATCGAACAAGTCGCAAATAGCAGCTGCTATTTGCATACAAACATACATATATGGTATAGTATGGTTAAAATTAGGGACAACTTTGCAAGTGTGAGTTCCTTTGAAGCTCTACAACAAAACACAGACAAAAAGAACACATACTTAACCATATATTGCATACACACACACACCACACACACTCACACATTTCTCATGTAATGCTTAAAGTACATTTTTAAACAAACTCTAGCGTTTCATGTATACATTCTATCCTAATCTTAACTTATCTACAACCTAATTAATTAACTTATTATATGCTCTATGTCTATGCCTATGTCTATGTCTACTATATAAATACATATATATACATATATATATATACACGTTTTGTTAGCGCAACAATACAAGGTAAAGAGAGATAAATATATATATATATATATATATATATATACTATACATATATATCAAACCCACGACTGCTAGAATTTCAAATGAGAACTCTTGACAAATCAAAAATTTCATACAAGTATTTCAAAAACTATAATTACTTACAACAGAAAAGCAAAGAAAGCGAAACAAAATAAAACAAATAAAGCAGGAGAAAATAGAGTAAAGTAAACATGTGAAAAGTTGAATCATAAATTAATAATGTGTTTGTAAAACAATATAAAGACACACACACAAAAGATACCTAACCACTGACAAACACACAGACTCACAGGAACACAGACACACACACACACCACAAGAACTCTCTCATATTCACATACACACTTACTCAATCGAAATCAATCCAAATGTATTATGAAGGCGGCAGAGCAACAATGCGGCTGCACTTCAAAATGCAGCGTTCAAAGCGTAATCAAATATTTAGCCCAACGATAATATACATACAGATACATAGATACAATTTGCGCTACAGCGTGTTTATGTTGATAATGAACAAGAACACACCGAGATAAGCAGCATGCGAATTAATAGAACTATATACATACATACTAAGTACATACATACATCATAATAGGTGGAAAATATGCAACTCAGCTATTTGAAAGAAAAACAAAAAACAAAAAATAAAAAAACGCTAAAAGTATTACTTTATCATGTAGAGAAAAATATAAAAAAAAACACACACACACACATCAACTGAATACATAGTTTACAAGTACATTGAAGAATTTAATAATTAAAAATTTATCTGATAAAGAATTACATATAATGAACGAAGCAGAGCAAACATATTAGCTTTGTGTTCTGATTTGCGCCCGCTGCGGGACTTGAAGGATAGTCATAAAGCAAAAAGTTGCATACATTGAAACAAAATATTTCTGAAATGAACAAATAAATAAATTAAACACAATTAAAAAGCATAGCAAACAGTTATAAGTTGTACATTTCGAGATTTTACCAAAATGCATATGGAAGCATAATAAATTCAAGACTAAGAAAATATGAATTACATACAAATATGCTAGCATATATGTGTACATACATACATGCGTGTCCGCATGTATGCATCAGTTTTAGTTGTGTAACACGCTCGCTCGAAGCTGACACCCGCGCATACTACATTACTTGCATGCAAAATGTGTGTATTATATGTAATTGTAGCTATAATCTGTGCATAATTGTATTGAAAACGAAAAAGAAAAAGAAAGAAAAGAAGAAATACTAAAATAGTGAAAACGTCGAAAAGGGTATAAACGAAAATGGAACAGGAGTACGAACACAATTTTCTTAAATCAATTCAAATCCAATCACATGCGCAACATACTTATACATATACATATAACATCAACAGAAACATATCAACCAGATTTGTCATATGAGTACGAGTAGTTGATTTTAAAGACACTTTTTTATGGATTCACATAAACCGAACCCACAATATGCCCCACAAACATTTCCGTTCAGAGCAGTCACAGTCACCAGAGCAACCCGAAAGAAAAACAGAGTATAGAAATTGAGCGTTATGAGTAGAGTTAGAGTCAAGCGTTTGAAAAAGAGCGTCAGCATTAGAAAATAAGATATATCAGAAATGCAGCTAAATCGCAGGTGTTGAAAACTGAAAGCAAGAGCAAAACGAAATTATTTTAAGCAAACGGACCGGAACCGAGTGCGTACCAGGTTACGACGTTGTCCTCGTAGACAGTGAGTCATAGATGAAAGCATAGAGAATTTGTTAAATATATTTGCCAACGGAGAAAGACAAAAATTAATTCATAATTTTATATAGTTACAGTATACTTTTTTAAGAGGTTTATTTCAAGTGTTTTTGGTACAATATTTTATAGATTTTATAGATTTGTGTGCTCATTAGTATTTTTAGTAGCAGAAATTTTGCGAGTGTGGTCTTTGAGCAGAAAGTGCAAGGAATTCAAATGGAAATGAGATCGTTGTTGCGTTTGTATTGTATTAAGAGTTTTTTCTTGTTTACTTTGGCGTTTAGACAAACGCATGCAACTTATATATAAAATATATACTTATATATAAACGTACATACATATTATAGCTAGCGAAATCTGTGTTTTACTTGCTTCTTTGATATTGAATTGTTTTTATTTTTCGTATATCTGAGTTCAGTTTGGAAAATTGCAACATTGAAACTACATGAAAAACAAACAGCATACAAGTTAAAAAAAAAAAAAGAAACAGACAGAAGTTCCTACTTTTTAGTGAAATGATAAATAATTGCTAAAAAACAGAAACTAACAAGACAATTTGCAGCAGTGAATTAAATATACTTACATTTACATAAACATGCAAAAGAAAGGTCACTTATTGATTCGTTTACCTTAATGAATGCCTACTTTGCTATTACTTTCCTTTCGTATCCTTGGTATGTCTATAAATTTTGTGCGCGTTAGTGAAAAATTATGGCAAAATTCAACTAGGGTCCAAGTTTTAAATATAATCAATTATCTTAAAGAACTTACATACATATTTAAATGAACTCCAACAAATGGTTCTGACGATCTGCCAATTTGTTGATTTATTGGTACCCAATATTCGAGATCGTAATATCTAAACAAAACGAACAAACAAATCTATCAACTAAAAAAACAACAAATAAATACATGCACGCTCTCGCTATTTCTCGAACACTCGCTTACATGCATATACTTAAAAAACATCACAGGTTTTACAGATATTGCCAAGAAGCTTCGAACATCATGTATCCTCGATTCTATATTGCTTAACTAGCCGAAACTAACTAAAAATACATCACGCGAAACAATCAAAATCGAACTTGAAACATTTGTTAAAAGAAATTTTTTAAATTTACACCACGATAAACACTTTTAAACCTTTGTGCTCTCTAATTGTACAACCTACTCGTTAAGGTAAATCAATAAAACGAAATAAAAAAAAAATTAATCATTTTACGCTCTAAATGAAAGTAAGCAAAACGTTTATGTAACGCAAGATTTTCCTCACCAAATTTTACTATAAATCTATTATGTGTATTGTATATAAAAACAAAAGAAATGCAAAA